ACCCTACCCTACCCTACCCTACCCTACTCTATCCTACCCTACCCTATCCTATCCTATCCTACCCTATCCTATCCTATTTGGACTATGTTTCTTTTCTATATCTTGTTTAAATTTTGGTTTATTGGTGTGTCCTAGTGAATTAGGCTATAAGCAGAAATAAGATAGACTGTATAATCTGTAATATATGTATTAAATTGTAATCTTTGGAGTCATAGTATATGGTATGTAATAATTCATTTACGTCCACATCCGTTTCACCCAGACAGATTTAGCATATAAGGTCAGACCTTTCCGCAGATACTGTAATTTGCTTATTGCTGTGAGAAATAGAAAAACTTCTGTTCAGAGTTATATGGATACAATTGATACCTATAGTTCAGCGTTTATGATTGCTCAATACTGAAGATCTTTGAAATAATTGGGTATGAAAGGCAATTTACTTTTAGCTATATAATGTCACATTAGCTACAGGGAAGGTACATCAGTTAATTAAAGCTGGGAATATAGTCTGTTCTCCTGGTTTGAAACATATTGCCTCAATTATTTTTAAGGTTGTTTTATGTGAATATTCACTTTTATAGAGCACAAGATAAAGCAGCCATGCAGCTTGGTGAACTAGAAGAAGAGATGGAGCAGCGCATACAGGCTACAGAACATAAAGTCAAGAAGGAGGTGATTAATTAATGCTTGCAATTCTAATGACTTAAAAGGATTGCTTCCCTTAACAAAATAAGTAAAATAATTCCAAATTTTGTGCTTCAGATTTGATGTATGGATCATTTTTCTGCATTATTTTCCTCTTTAGTTTGCCTCTAATGCAAAACAGTACAGCCAGCACTTCTATCTCTTTCCTAATCCAGCTTTTTATGCAAAAAAGAAAGAGTTGGGGAAGAGGGAAAGATGCCCATGGTAGCTTACGGCAGGCTAGTAATTTGAAGTAATTTGTTATGGCAGACTAAGTTGTAATGTAAGTGTCTGTTATGTTGAAGATGAAGAGCCATTATATAGGGTTCTGGAAACTGGATAATACAGATCTGTGGATTTTTTTTCCCTTCCAGGTACGTAATATATGGAAGAAATGTGAATTCATAACAATTGGTTATGTCCTAGTTCTTATAGATCATGTGCAAATAGAGATACTTGGAAATGGTCTAATAGATACAGCCCTGTTTCTCTTCCTCCTCTCCATTCAACAATATCCTTAATTTCTATTTATTTATGGGTCTCTGGTTTCTTTGATATAAATTTTGATAATTAAATCTAGGGAGTAATTAAAAGGAAGAAAACTGTATTCTGCAAATTATTATACAATTGAAGTTACAAATAGTTCTAACCAGAAATTTAGATCCCTAATCTTAGAATATGGTAAAATAGGGAAAAAGGGGCTGACGTCACAACGTCACAACGTGAGATCTTGGTGCTCTGAGATCGCAGTCGATATTTCTGCCGCTGGGACTTAAAACAGTCCCGTAGAGACACCTCCTGCTGATCTCAGGAATAGAGCAAAGTCCTGAAAGATCCAGGAATAGTCTTTTTTCCGGCGACAGAAATGCAGCTAATGAAGCTGTTGAAGTTGGGACAGCTCTGGAATGGGAAGAAAGCGAAAAGTGAAAGTGTGTCGAATTGGTGAGGAAATTTTATTATTAGAAAAAGAGACTACCCAAAAATATTAAGTTAATTTAAAATTGAAGATAGAAGACTGTAAGCAGTGAAATTAATCTACATTAAACTTAGTGTGTTATCCTGTTTCTAATTTTTTTTTTCATGGATGGAATTTTTGCAAAGACACCCTATTTTTTAAACTGAATGGATTAATTTTTCTTCTTTTTTCACTTTTGCTTATGATTAGATAAACATTTCCTTCTTTTTTATAATGCTTGATTGGATTGATTGAATTGTTTTTGATCTCTATTTAAGGTTTTTTTTTCTTTCTTAAGCTTAGAATATAAAGAAGATAATAAGGATTATAAAGAAGGTTGTAACAACAGGAGGAAAAGCAGTTACACTGCCACTTAGAGGCTGGAGGCTGGATACATTGTTTTTCTTTCTTTCTCTGATCACTTGAGATTCAAGATTCGTTCAGTTTGTTTACTGACAGTGATAGAAGAACACAAGTTGTTTATACAGGTGTTTTTTGTGAGCTTTATAGTGGCAGTAACTGCAAAATTGGAAGAATGGCGCAGCAGGAAAAAGAAACTAACATTGCAAATGATTATGTTTCAAATTCAAAATCTATTAGTTGTGACAGAGAGAATTGAATAGAGATTGGAGAGTATGGACTACGAAACAGAAAAAATTGATGTTTATCAAATGAAGAATGTGGAGGACAGAGTTAAAAAAATGGAAGAAAAAAAATGAGCAAAGATAAGAAAACTGGATACTGACAACAAAGTGAGCATGGTTGGTAATGGCAAGAGCAGAATATGGAAAGGGGAGATAGATGGATTGGAATTCTATCCCAGACTTCAAAGCACAGAAGAAGAAAAGAGAGAAAAATTGACAGAGATAAGGAAAGAAATCTTGACAGAAGCACCAGTGATAACCAAAGATAAGCTGATGGAAAGCAGATGCTGGGTTTCGAGCTTTTATGAGATACAAAAGGAACAACATGGTGCGAAGAGAAGTTCATACAAGATTTATTAAGAAAGTAACTAGTAACTAGAATATTAATGCTACAAATGGCAAGAGATATAAGATTTCACTATTACTGAAAATATACAGGTTGATGCAATGAAAATGTATAATAAAAACTAAGCTAAATTTAGTTTACTAGTAGTATGTATAAAAAGCATTGACAATAGCTATAGTTAATGATTAATAAATCTTGTATGAACGTCTCTTCGCAACATGTTGCTCCTTTCATATTTCATAAAAGCTTGAAACCCAGCATCTGCTCTTTCCATCAGCTTATCTTTGGTTATCACTGGTGCTTCTGTCAAGATTTCTTTCCTTATCTCCGTCAATTTTTCTCTCTTTTCTTCTTCTGTGCTTTGAAATCTGGGGTAGAATTCCAATCCATCTATCTCCCCTTTCCATATTCTGCTCTTGCCATTACCAACCATGCTCACTTTGTTGTCAGTATCCACAGTTTTCTTATCATTTTGCTCATTTGTTTCTTCC